GAGAAGCCCAGAGGACTGGACAGAGGTTTTTTTGATCAAATTTCAGAGCACCAGCAGCCTTTTGTTGTCTTTCCTTCCTTTTAACATATTTGTTTTTCAAGCCCTCAGTTCAGTGGCACAGAGGAGGGTAAATCACACATTGGTGGTGAAGTCTAGCACAAGCTGCCTCCCCTTTGAATCTGAGAACCACACTTTAACCACAAGAAAGGATGTGTCCTCATTATCACCAGCATTTTTAGGCCCTAGACAAAAGGACTGTGGTGCAGAGTGTACCTAGAGCAAAAGCAGAGATAAGGTTGTTTTATTATACACGATACTGTTTGAATTCACAACCGAATCTCGTGCCGGGCGCTGAGGTGCCCAACCCAGGCTGCTTCCCCAGGCAGGAGGGCAGCAGTGCAGGTCCCTCCCTCTGTGCTGATCAGCTTGTGACACCACAGCACAGGGAGCAGCTCCCCATCCACCACCTATAACACAGCACCCTAAAATCCAGCGTGGCCCCTGCAGCACTGGCACAGCCTGGCAACAGCTCAGGAAGAGCTGCCTGGGTCAGCCCTGTGTGGCACCCTCCTCCAAGTTATCAAACCCAGTCCCCAAGTTATGGGCACATGTGCTTCAGAGTCTGGGAATGCCACCAGAGACCAGGAGCAGTAGGAAAATACCAGGCTGCAACTTTGTGAACAAAATGAATTCACTGGCTTAACACCCACATAATTAAAAGCAGGCGCATCCCTTGGTAACTGTTAGCACGGGAGTGTGCCTGGCTGTGTGTTTGCATTTGGGGGGCTGCAATTCCACCTACACAAGCAAAGAGAGTCCCTTTGCAGACCCAGGCTCCTCACAGCACTGATGAAGCACACCGGGAACATCCTAGCCCCAGGATCCATTTCATTTCCCATTGGCACAGGAGTAACAGTAGCTCCTTCCTGCCAAGGAGGTCTGAGCTACCCACTGCTTTCTCCTGGCAATTCAGAGGGCTCTGACAGCCGCGGGGACCTCAGCCCTGAGAGAGGAGAGCATTCTTTTGCTCTCTGCTGCTGAGATGGCAATGGCCCTGCTCTCCACACTCATCCACCAGCCTCGCTTCAGGTGGCTCCTACTGGCTCTTGGCACCACTGCTGGGAATGGGCAACTCCCACTCTCCTCTCCTCACAGAGCTGACTGAACAATGGTTTTGATAGATGAACAGCAGGCAGTGAGAGCAGCCCCAGAGGGAGCAACCTCCAGCCCCAGCTCTCAAAAGGGAAACAACACCCACCACGCAGGTGTGGTCCAGCAGAGGTGCAGGCTGTAAGCTCCTTCCAACATCAGAGAAAAGCCTTCCCAGGAGCCTTTCCCTGTTACCCAGCACTTCTTGTACTGCTTCCTGCACCAGTTCCCCCTCACAGGGTGTGTTGCATAGTATTTAAATACAACCAGGTCTGGGCAAGCCAGATTTCAGTAGATCCCATGTCCCCTCTGTCAGGCAATGCTAAGAAAGGGGTCACGATTCCTCCATCAGCTGTTAGTACAGCATCACTTAATGCAAATCCTCACAGCCCTCCTCCTCCAGCCTCCCCCCAGGCAGAGAGCAGCAGAAAGTGATCCCCCTCAGGGAAAAGAGAGGAGATTTCGCACATAGTGGGCACCAGTATTAATTCTTCCTACTGCTGCAGGCTTTCCTTTCATTCTGTGACTTTATGAACATCACTCAACGTTGGCAGCAGCCCCGGAGGGTATCACGAGTCGCCTGAAAAGGAAAAGAGCCTCTTCAAGCATCTGGGCTGCCTCTGAGCCAGAGTGCGGCAGCTCCGGCCGTGCACGGCCACACTGACCAGACAGCTCACAGCCACGGCACTGGATCAGCCATGCCTCAAGGGGGCTTTGATAACATCTTTAGGGTGTCATGGCTAATTAGATCCCTGACTACACCCTCTAATTAGGTAACACTTTCAGACAAATCACCCTGTCCCCTTCAAACCACTTCACACCTCCAGACACATCCCTAATTGACTTGAAAGTTGACTCGGCACTTCTTCCCGGACCTCCTTCCAATTCACAAGGCATTTCAAAATAAACAAACCCCTGCTCCTCAGTCCTGTCTCAGAAGCCAGCTGGGGAATTGCCCTCACATCCGCACAGGCAGAGCACCTGCACGACCCGACACAAAACCTCCGTCTCAGGCACAAAGCAAACGCTCTGACGCAGCGGCAGCATCGTCCTCCTCTGATCTCTCCTTTCTACCCATCCTGGCGCTACTTCCAACAACAGCCAGCAAAGCTTTTTCTCGGAGTACAGGAGTGTTTGCGATGCATCAATGTCCTACTAAAAATATTGCCCCGGGGGCTCGCGAGAGCAGCACGGCTCCAGCAAAGGAGCCTGGTATCTGGCAACGGAAGGCATTAGAAAAAACCCTAACCATTGAGAAATTAATATGCCAGAATGATATCAAGTGCCAACATTTCAATCCAGAAGCTTGACTTCTGTTTTCATTACCTAATGAATAAGCTGAAACGATCCAAATGTTTTCAGTTTCCCAACAGCACAAAATCTGAAGTAGATAGGCAAACCCCCCACCACCATCATAACTGCAAACATGCTGAACAAAAACTATCAAAATTCATAGAAGATAAATATTGAGCCCTTAAAAGCTTGCTATGAGAACAATGTCTCTTTATTTGCTTTCTGTGAGGTTTGTTATAACAAGAGAGAAAGACTCCAGTATACAGTGCTTTAATATATATACACGCATTCACAGCTGGAATAATAGATTTTAAGGACTCAGGACAATATTACAGCTGGATGTATGCAGAAATGCATAAACATACCTTCAAAAACATATTCTTTGCACCCCACCCAGATATGTAGATGGACACACATATAATACACACACACACATACACACACACACTCTCCATGTTTCAAATCGATCAGGACCATTCATTAAATCAGACTCTCTAAAGTTTCTGCTGCTTTGGGAAAACATGACCCTGAGGAGACATCATGCATGAATTTAACAACCAGCAGAAAATGAAACCATAACACGCTGCATCTTGAAAGCCAGCCCTGAATCTAACTTAATCCCTGCTCTGGACAACGCCTCTAGAGAGGCATTAAAACCATGCTAAGGTGTTTTCCTGGATTTCCCAGATTCCCCGGAGATTCCCTGGCACTCCGGCTGCATCCACCACCTCCTTGCTTCGGAGATGTTTCCGGCTGACCGCTTCCATCCCTATCCTGCTGCTTCCACGGCCAGTGAAGGGCAGAGCCAGCGGAGCAGCCTCCGGAGAGCCGCGTCCTGCCCTGGCGGCAGGAGGAGTTACCGGGACAGCTCGTGGGGTTTAACACTCCTAATTCCTACAAAACGTGCGGGGGAATGATGCACGGGGCATGAAGGGTCAAGAGCAGCTTTGCAGCCTCCTTTCCCATCCCCAACAAAGGAATTCCAGCAGATCTCGTGCCCCCTAGTGTCATCCTGGCGAACGGGCCGGCGCCGGGCACCGCCGAGCGCCGGGTACCACCTGGCCCAGGCAGCAGCACCCCTGCTTGGCCACACCGTGCAGAAGCCACCGTGTCCTGCTGGCTCGAGAGCACGGCGAAATGACATTCACAGCAGTTCATGCAAGGGACAGCGTGAGCTCGCTGTCCCTCCCCAGCACCCCGGGGTACCACTGCCCAGCAGGCGTCCCCATGCCCAGCACGGTGCCACCTCTGCTCGGCTCTGCTCTGCCCCGGAGGAGCCCCGGCAAGATCGGCCCGTCCAGCAGAGAGCCCAAAGGGTGTCCCTGGAGGAGGGCCAAGAGGAGGAGGCAGAGAGCATCTGCAGTGGACACTGTCCAGAATACAACTCCTCCTAAAAATAGACAGATCCTGGAAGGGCACGGCCCTTCCAGGGAATGGGAATGCTCAGTCCCAGGAGCTCAGGGTTTGGCATGATAAAACTTCAAAGTGCGTGAATGCAAGGCACTTTGTTACCCTGTTTCTTCCCCATGAGAGCACCTGTGGCATCAGGCTCTGGCTACGAGCACGAGAAGCAATGAACAAAATCAGCCCCGAGCCCAGCATCCCTGTGTGCCAGCCTGCTCTGACCAAAGATCCAGCATCTCCTCGAAAAATGCCCATGCCAGCTGCAACACCAACAAGTGCAACCACACCCCACACACAGAGCACCTAAATAAGAGCTGGAAAGATGCACAGGAAATGTGCGTGCACGTGCCTCAGTTTCCCCATCTGCCCAGCTTGCCCTCTCTTATTTTCCTCATCCCTCCTGTTCAGCTATTAGTTCTTGTGGGAAGAGGCACCCCAGGAATACACCTAGACCACTGGCCCCTTCCAGCATCTGCTACCAGCATGCAACCAAACCTCAGTAACCCATCACCAAAATTTGGAGGAATTCTCCCCAGGGCACTGACCTGAGTATGCTGCTTTCTTCTGCAACACCGAGCAGGGACTATAGCTTAGAATAATGGGGAAGTAACTCAGTTCAGTGCTGACAAAGCATCACAAGCCCCAGCGGGGTGGGAGGGGAGGAGGTGTCCTTCCCTCACGCTGCCATGCCTGGTATACATCATGTTTAGGGCCAGGCATACGTCACTGATACAAAATGGACAAATTGGAGGGATTTCAGAAAAATGAGCGACAAAAATTATCGGGAGGCAGAAGGGATTGATTTACAAGGGGAGATTAAAAAAGCTGCGATCAGCCTAGCTGGGCTGAGCAAGTACTGACTGCAAGAAGCAGTTGGATGCTAATCTGCAAATGGGATGAAAACAATATGGGAAGGAGCAATTTAGCATCTTCATCAGTGCTGGGATGAAATGAGGGGGAACTCAGGGCTAAGTAGGCAGGGAAAAAAACCCCAAACCAACGCAAAAACTCCTTTCCTAGTTATGCATGACTGTCTCCATCAAAACACTCGAAGTCCCCAAAACTCACTCTGCCTCGGACAGGGACCCTCGGGAGCAACTGAGCACACACACACACACACACACACACACAGCCCTTTCCCACCCCTGACTCACACTCAGGAAAGCAGAAGGGCTGCCACGATAGCCGGAGAGGATGGAGGCTTCACGCTTGCAGGGAAGCAGTGGCGAGCGGAGGCTAGAGCTGGCGGTGGCGGTGGGGAGGTCCCCGCAGAAGGACGATTTGCACTCCCAGGTCTTCACAGGGGAAAGGTGCTGAGATGGCTTCCTGCAAAGTGGCAGGAGTGAGCTCAGCTGCGAGCACTCAGATATTTACACACAAACAGCACATTACTCAGCAACTCTCATTTGTCAGGCATAATGGCAGCGGCAGCAATAATAAACGACAGAGCTGAGAGACAGGCTCCCCAGGCGCACACCCAGCCCCAGACCGAGCTGGAGCAGGATGCGTGTCTCCAGCTTGCAGGGAATTAAATGAGAGTGGCCAGGAGCTGGGGCTTGCACCCACAAAACTCCTGCTGCCAGCTTCAGAGAGTCAGTCACGTCTCCAAAAGCTAAGCCTTGGCTGCACAGTTATTTGAATGTGTGTGTGCATCACAAGCTTTGTGGCTCTGAGAGGTATCAGGGCTTTCCCCAAGTCCAGAAGCTGCTGAGCACTTTTCAGGGGAAAAGGGATGCAAAGTCCTGGCACAATGGGGTCCTCTTGGGGTAAATCAGACCAAAGATAATGTACAATCATTAGATCATGGCTTGGCTTGCTCTGCAAAGAGGCTCCGATAAACTTATCTTGAGGAGCTGTCGCAAGGAAGACTGCCAGGCACGAGGCTCTCATTTCTAAAGCTCAGCCTGTCTTGGGAAAGTCCTCCTGGTGCAGTGAGCCCCAGAGAGTTCTGGTCCCAGGACCTGGTCTCAGCATGCTGCCTGGCCGGACACGAGCATCCCTTGCACATCTCCAGACATCACAGCAAAGCTCTAACTCCTCACGGAGGGGCAAGGCAGGGATCCGGGAGCCAGATCGGCTGCTCCCAAATATTTGCACATTTTGCAGAAAGCAGCCAATGTCAGTGCCTCACTGCCTGAACACACGGCCAGTGGGACTGGCAGCAGCATGTGCAGGTCCTGTCCCTCACACAGGTACACAACGTGGTGTGCTGAGAGTGGGCACCGCCAGTGAAATTCGCTAAATCCGAGGAGATGCCAGCAAGTTCCCGAGCAAAAAGCAATCCGAGGAAAGGACCTCCTCAACCATCCCACAAATTAAAAACACAAAGGGATGGGGAAAAGAAATTGAACAGCTTTGCAGGCAATCCCCTTTCTGTAACCTGTCCTCTGAACAGACCCTGCACATGTGTCCGTAAGCTTGGGGTGGGGAACGTAAGAGAGTAAAGAAGTGCCGATCGTTAGACCAAAAAAAAGTTTAGTGGTTAAGGAAACAACTGCCAGAGGAGCCAGGGAAGCTGGAACATGCAGACCTGGTTCTGTCCTCAGTGAAGACACCACAAACTGGCTCACGAGCTGACTGGAGTCACAACTCGTTTTCAGGATTGCAGTGGGGGAAGTCACCAAGATGTGGAAATGTCAGGGAGTTTTGAGCAGCATAGGGATCGGTGTGTATTATGCAATTCTGGAAAGCAGCCCTTGTACTCACGCTCGGGATGAACTGTCTGCCTAACCCAGGGAGAGCAGTTCCCCAGAAGCACCATGCAGACACTTTTCTTATAAAAATCACACTTCGGGGAAAAAAAAAATTAAAAAATAAAAAAGAAAAAATAAAATCTGCTCTGCCACAGCAGAGAAGAAGGCAGGTTGCGCCTTTGGAGAGACGGAGAAGAAGCCTGCTCTCCCGCCCAGGAAATCCACGGGCTCCGGTTTACAAAGAGCCGCCCCGCAGTCCCAGCCGCTCCAGCCCCGTGCACTGCCGCAGGGAGAACTCATCCCTCCCAGCCCTCAACCTGGTGCCGGCCGCGATGCCCTCCCGGCCGGGCAGGGGACGGGGGTCCCGCCGGGCAGGGGACGGGGGTCCCGCCGGGCAGGGGACGGGGGTGCCACCGCCGCGCCCCGATGCGGACCCGCTGTCTCGGAGGGTGCGGGGACGCTCCGGCCCCTCGCCCCCCATCCGTCCCCGCCAGGAACACGCGCACGGCGGGGCAGGAAAGTATTGAGCTGCCCAAATTGGTTCCTCACGGCGGGGCGGACGCGCGGCCCACGTCGGGGCGCGGACACACGCGGGCGCTGGAAAGGTGCGCGGCTGCGGGGCGGGAGGGAGCACAAGACCGGGAGCGAATGCGGGGGAAGAAAGCGTTGCCCCCCGCCTTCCTTTCCGCCTCCCTGGGCGGCGGGCCCCGCGGCTCGCCGCCGCTGACCCCCGTGCCCGCAGGCCGCCTCCCCCGTCCCGCGGGTGGGGGTACATCCCGTGCCGCCCTCCGGCCCCGGCCGCCCGCTACTCACGGCGCCTTCCTTGCCGCCGCTCCCGGCGCTACCCCATGCAACCACCGGCTGCTTCTGCACCGGCTCGGGGGCTATAAGCTCTTTTAAACTCCAGCACATAACCCATGTGACCGCAGAAGCCACTGGTAAGGAGCGCCGGGGAGCCAGCGATGAGCTCAGCCCGCACCCCCCGGCACAGCGCCGGGGACGCGCTCCCGGCCCCGCCGCGCCGCGCGCACCCGCCCGCAAACACAGCACACACACACACACACACACACACACACACACACGCTCGCAAACACAAACACACGCACACCCACACACGCACCCCCCGCAGCCACACACTGGTCCACGCCCCTGCGGACACGCCGCCGCCTCCCTCCCCACGGATGCTGAGCCGGAGGGAGGCACCGCACACACAGGCGCGCCCCACCGACCCCCGTGCAAATGCACACTCGTGGAAGCACCGTGGGGACGCCGCTCTGTGCACACACACACACACACACACACACACACACACACACACATCACCAGCAGCACACCCTGCAAGCCCCCCCATCTCCCCAGAGTGGAAGCAGCAGGGTCGTGGTCACCTCACACGTGCCCTGTGCACACACACACACGCACACATACACACACACACACACACGGGGTCGTGCACAATGCACCCTCCACGTGCACTGTCCCTTCCCTCCACCACGAGATGCAGACCCAAGAGAAGGAGCCACACTTCCATCTCCGTGCACATCCTCGCACACGCCCCACTCGTGAGTGCTGAGCTCCCTCACACCAACACCCTCCTGGAGTACGCAGCAGCGCCCACAGGAAGGTGCACACTGTCACGAAAGCCTCTCGCCCCTCTCACACACACTGCACAACCAAACACCCATCACACGTGTGGGCTGTGCTCCTCTCGCACAGCTGCTGCAGCCACACCTGCACCCACCTTCCCCACTGCAATAAAACCTGCTGCTGGGTGCTGAACATGCCCACATTGCCCATCCATCACAACCCCAGCCTGTGAGGTCCCCTGCAGCATGTGGGAACACCGCATTTCCCATCACAGATAAGGACAGAGAGCTGTCACACGTGTGGGTGGGGTCTGCAGGGCAAAAAGGGCAGATGTCCCCCTGTGCTGTGCTCAGTTACTCCTGATGAGGGGGAAGCCCCAGGGGTGGCCATACAGCTGGGCCAGGTTGGCCACCTCAGCCACGGCACAAGAGGATTGGGAGTGCCAGGCTGAGATGTGCCAAGCGGGGACGGGAGCCGGGTGTGAGGATTTGGTGTGCAAAGGGCTGGGACAGGCAGGCCTGGCCGGGCAGGTGCAGGCGTGTGCTGCTGGGGCACGCCAGCAACACGTGTGAGAAGGCAGAGCTGGCAGGCAGAGGGCTCCGTTGAGAGCTGAGTTATGGAAAATGACTCTTTCCAAGGAATTGCTAAAATTAAAGCAGCAGTGAGGCCAAGCAAGCAGGAGCCAATGGGGAGGGTGAGCAAGGACAGCCAAGCGGCCTCAGGGCAAGGAAGGGCAGGGTGGGCAGGAGGCCGAGGGGAAGGCACCCTTGCGGGGCATCCACCCTTGCCTCCTGCCAGCTGCCCAGGCAATGGCAAACACCTTGTGGGGAGGATTTGGGGAGAGGCTGACTGGCACCCTGGTGGCACTGGCTGGACGATGCCATGGAGCAGGAGGCCTGGGGGAAATAGCCTTCTCCAGCCACATCCCCCACTTGGCTGCCAGTGTGCAGAAAAATACCTCTGTTTTCCCAGCCTGGAAAAGACAAATGCCCATGAAGAAACAGCCTGCTCCCTGCCAGGGGCTAGCTGCCAGCAAGGCACAGGGAGCAGTGCCCACAGGCGGTTTTGGGGAGCCCTGCAGAGGCCCGAATCCCATTATGCACATCCTCTGCCCTTATCTCCAGCCTAGTGACTGTGGCAGGGGTGCTGCTCCCTGGACATCAACATTCAGGTCGGCAGTAAGAGCTGCTCCAGCTTCCAGATATCTGAGTGTTCCCAGCTCAAATCCCCGTGACTCAGGAAACAACACATGCGAGGAAACTCTGCAGAGAGACTTGGGAGAAATACTCCCATTGGCAGGTTCCCACTTTCCCTGGCATCCCAGGACTTCTCCTGGTCTGAAGAAAACAACAGTAGTAACAAAACAACAGAGCTTTCTTCCTGATCTTCCTGTTAAAGAAAAACCCAAAAACCTAATATTTGGGCAAGGCTACAAAAGTAATTCTCTTTTGTTTTAACTAGATAAGTGTTGATCAAATCAAAGCTACCACCTCTCTTTGCAGTTGTGGAGACAATGTCACACAGGCAGAGGAAGGGGGCTGGGTGGGAGCCAGGTTTTTTCTGGTTTTTCACTGATGCTGCTAAAAGACATTATTAATTGGATGGAAATAATGATATTTTGTCTCAGATGAAAGTGCACAATAAATTATTATTGTTAGTAGTTTTATCCGTGAAGAATAACTAGCATGTTGGGACTCTGGGGGAATCTGTGATAGCAGGTCCTAGGGAAAAAAAAAAGAGACAGAAAAAAAAACCCAGGAGGGAAAACTAAAGGCAAAAGCAGATGTCTCCAAGGTTTTTCAACAGGATGCAGCAAAGCTGGGGAGTGACCCTCCTGCCCAGAAAGTCGGGATTGGATTGAAGTAGTCACAAAATGGAAGAAAAGGAAAAAAATGCCAACCCTCATTCTCCCTCTCCACCCCTCCCTGCTGTCAGCCAGGATCAGAGCTGAAAAAGAAGGAGTCAAAGCTCTGTGAGAAGCAGCAGCTCTCTGATGCCATTGGGAAGTGTGTCAGGAGAGCAGGTGGTTTTGTGGGGACAGAAATGGAAAGATACCGGAGCTTTAATAGGTCCAGGCAGAGAGCTGAACCTGGGGAAATGATTCTCCATTAGCTTATGAGCCAGCATCAGTCCATCACCCTGGGCTGCCTTCCCCATCCACAGCACCCCAGAGGGAGCCACTCAGAGAGAGCAAGGGGCTCCTCACAAGCCTGTGCACTGACATCCAGCCAGGACACTTATCACCAAAAATGCCACTCCAGGGCATTGCACACCACCCCCAGCCTCCAGCAGCAGTGGTACCCCAAGCAGGAGAGCAGATGCTTCACAGCTGCATGGCAAAAATACAGTACAGCTGAGCCATGGTCACATCCTGACCTGGCCAGTGCCAGTTTGAAGCTGGTCCTGGCCAGCTGTAACTCTCTTGGACACCTGAGGCCAAAGCTCAGGGGACAGCACTGGCCTGGTTTACCCCAAAGCAGAGCATATACGAGGTGAGAGTCTGAGCCAGTGTCTTTCCAAAGCATTTATTTGATACTCTGTGGCAAACATCTGACTAAATTACTCACAGATTATTCAAACATCAGGAGAGCTGATTAAATGATTACTGGTGAATCATTTGTTCAAAGGAAAATGCCCAAATTCCTACACTGAACTACTGGCAGGCAACAGCAGATGAGTTTCAGCCCTCCAAAATCCCTGAGCTCACATCAGCCCCTGAGTCTGCACTCCTTGCTCACAGCTTCCCCAAAATATCCGCCCCCTGCCCGACCCCTTGCCACTGGCAGGAGCAAGGTGAATAGGAGACGTGGGGAACCATTCCTTGAATTCCTGCTGGACTTCAGGCGAACAACAACACAGCAGGCTGAGCTAGGAGCCTTGTCTCTCGCCTTTGCACAAAAGAGATTCTCTGGAGGGGGAAAAACCCCTCAACAATGGTGAGGAAACGTACAAGAAAACTGCAAAGAAAGCAGCTGACCTTGCATGCCGCAGGCCAGAAAAAAGTACAAATGTTCTTGCAAAGAAGCAGGAAAAGATGGAAGCTATGGAGCCGACAAGCTTTTTACCAGCCCAATTTAATCATCTTCTCAGCAAATGCTCCCCACGAGGAACAAGAGGGAAAGCAAGATCATGAAAAGATTGCAGGCAAAGGAATTCTGCTGGTACTCCTGGACTGATTAAAATTCCTCAGGACTCATAGCAGGAGAGAATATTTTATGTAAAACTTCACCTTGTCTTTATTACATTTGCCAAAACTTCTTCCTGTGTAGATAGTGGGAGGTGCATTAGAAAGACAAAGATGGAGATAATAAGCACAGGACCTGGCTGTGGCTTTCCAGCCCATTACCCATTTGCCTGGGAAGAGTCCTGGTGATGGTGGTGAGCATCTGCATGCATACAACAATGTGTGGGCAAGGAGAGGCCACGGGGACCTCCAGAGCCTGGACAGAGTGTGCGATTTGGCCACGTGTGTGTACAAAGGTCTGTGCAGGAGAAAATCCTGTCCTTGGATGTAGCCCTGGTCATGGGCATCAAGTGGCACGGAGATGAGTGATTAGCATGATTTGGGATGCAAGTGGTACAGAGAGAACCAGGTCTTGCCAGTCAGCTGAAATAAATGAGTGAAATCTCCATGTGCAACAAGGACGCCAGGTTCGGTGCATGCTGCTACCAAACCCACTCCTGGAAAACAGAGATTGGAATATGGAGAGACCCCTCACTGCTGCTGCTGCTGCTGCTGCTGCCACTGCCGGGTAAGATATCGATGACAAAGTATCGCCTGACACCTGTTATAAATAACGCCTGTCCCATCACCCACTCACCACATGACCCCTGGCTGCCAGCTCCTCACTCGGAAGGGGCTCAGCGTGGAATGAAAGCCATATTTATAATACATTTTTGCACATGTCTTTCTGAGTGAGGAACAAGAGGATAAGGGTCTGGAAAAGGTTTCCTCCAGCACTTTCTTTCCTGTGGTGCCAGAAGAGCAACCCCATGAAATCTCAGGCAAGAGCCGAGACATTAAAGCGATCATCATGTTTTGCACCACTTTGCACTGAATTACAGGATTAGTGTTGCAATGCTCCTGGAATGGGGAAATCAGCATCATAATCCTGTGTGTTTGCCAGGTCGGTTGTTTTTTCCCCATGGATCAGGACATCTTACAGGGGCTCACCACTGCCAGGGTCGGGGGCCCTGGAGGTGTCCAGAGGGAACGTGGATGGCATCGGGCACACCCAGGTTGGTGCTGCTCTCTGGAGCCTTCTGCCTCC